ACTGATGAATATTTGTTTCTTCTCCGCTGTTAATACTGGGGGCTTTGACGGTCTTTCAGCCATGTTTTTAGCGATAAGTCGACTGGGATACCCATTTTGTCGAAACATGCTTTCAACAATCTCAGATACCAGTTGTGTTGAAAACGGTAGAAGTCACTTTTCTGTTTATAATAGAAAATGTTTCGTTTATGGGTTTACATATAGGCTCTTTGCAAATGCACCAAACTGTGGCCGAATATATACTGTCTGTGCGAAAACTGCTAATTAAATTAAGTAGTATCGAAAACAATATTATACAAATTTAGCATGGCTTTTTGTGGGTGCCCAGCTCCGCGGTAAAATATACGCCTTTCGTTTACGGACCCAAGTCTCCGTACTGTTAAACAAGTTGACTACTGCACTTTTTGACGAAAGACGTTGGAATTTATTTTTAACTCTGAACTAGTTCTTTGTTTTTGGAAAAAAATGTAATTCCTCACAATTGCTTCAAAATGGTTTTCACTAACTTTAGATCAGATTTTCCGGTTCTTGAAGGGATTTATTTTGAAATATTCTTCCATATATTGTCTTTCTACGGCTTTACGCATAGAAATAAACTGTTTTGTTCTCTTTCACATATTAAGTGGCATCGGAAATAGCTTGCATAGCCAGTAGCCTCCGCGTTCGTTTAGACCGTACCAGTTGCCCTTGAATATGCAACATTTCATCTGGACTTTATTGTTAGTAGAAGTCTTTTTAAGGCCGAGGTTCAATCAAAATAACAACACCAATTGTACGCTTACATACCGACTCGTATTTTGATCACGACGTTGTATGAGTTGGGTCATCTACTGTAGCTTGTCCGTGAGCATACGTCCTCGTGACTATTTAAACGGCGGTCCCCGGTGAGAATCTCAAAGGAACGATACTCGGCGGAGGACGGAAAGTATCGTCGGGGAGAGTGTGCAGTGACTAATTCCACGCGGACGCTTAATGCTGTCGGCCTCTGCGACAGCCAATCACAGATGCTGCAAACTGCGCCAACGCTCGATCCCTCACTGAGGCTAACTTTCGCACCGTACCTCCCCTGTCTGGCCAATCACCTTTCAAGGCTGACTCAGTAAAAGACAGCTCTAGAAACTTGTGACAATGGCTGCGCTGACTTTGCTTCGGACCGCCCAAGCCCCCTTCACGGCGGGAGGTATACTGGTTCGACAGTTAACTTCCTCCCGCCTATTATCCGCTTTTGCTGTGCAGAGTAAAATATAATTGAGAAGAAGATTCGATAGCTGAGACAATACTTTCATTCGCGTGACGTTTCGTCATCGTGCCATTGCTTTCTGCTCACATCTCTGATGAAGAATTCGTGACAGATGTCGAAACGTCAGGCAAATAAAAGTGTTGTCCCAGCAATCGAATTTCCTTCTTCTTAATTACTTACTGGGACTCGCATGTTCGCTTGTATCGCCAATATACTATTTTTACCGCACGAAGTCCCAAATCCTCTCTTTCCACAAGAAACGGACCTGTTTGATCTCAATCTACTAAACCTTTATGCGCTAAGCGAAGAGATCATCTGAAAGTTTCTCCCTTTTCCCTTCCTTTTCTAGAGAGAGAAGATAAAAGGGAGGGAGGTTGGAAACGAGAGTCTCGTGGACGCCTTCCCAATTTCCCTTAGTGTGCCCGGTTCTATCTCCAAGGCTACAGAACAGTCCGCGGTCTCCGACTTTGACAGCCTAGTTGAGGCGTCTGTGGTGATTGAAAAACCGGAGAAAAGTCCCCCACGGAAAATGTTCAGGATACCCTTTGATAACCGTTTCCTGGTCGACACGACCTCTCTGGAGGAGACAACCATTCAGGCAACCTCTGACGACCCGGACGAGACCGAGGTGCCCACGGACTCCTCCTTCATGCAAGACAGGCACTGGACACGAGAAAAGAATCCACCGGTAGGTTTCGACAAAAATATTATTTAAATACAATAATAAAGAGTAATAGTAGTAAGCTAAAATAACAAGAAGAAAGAGCGCTCACACGGAGATATCTATTATATGCCTGACCTTTTGGGTAGTTGTTTCGTATAAGAGTTCATGACTGTCGTCATATGCCGTTCTTTGCAATAGCAACCACCCGATGCAA